ATGAGCCCTGGTTAGTTGATTTTTTTCGGTTTGTTTTGTGGAGTCCTTGACCACCTGTAATCCTTCCTTCCCCTCTTCCTCAAGATTCCCTGAGCTCTACCTAATGTTTGGCTGTGGGTCTCTGCAATTGCTCCCATCAGTTGCTGGATGAAGCATCTCTGATGGCAAATATGTTAGGCTCAGATCTACAAATATAGCAGAATATTACTAGGAATTATTTCATTGACTTTTTTTTTTTTGACTAGTTGTATTTGATTCTATCCTAGGTCTCTGGGCTATCCACCCTCTGGGTCCTGGCACTTCAGACAGTGTCAGACATGGGTTCTCTCTTGTGGCCTGGGTCTTAAGCTAGACCAGTCATTGGTTGGCCACTTGTGCAAGGTCTGCACCACCTTTATCCCGGTACATCTTGCAGGGAGAATAAATTGTAGGCAGAAGGTTTTGTGGTTGGGTTATTATCCCAATCCCTCCACTTGAGGCCTTGCCTGGTTACAGAAGAAGACTGGTTTAGGCTCCGTGTCCCGCATTACTAGGAGTCTTAGCTAGGGTCACCTTCGTAGATTCCTGGGAGTTTCCATTGCACTGGGTTTCTGTTTCACCCCTGAAATGCCCCCCAATGCAAGAGGAACTAAGGAGAGGGAAAGCAGAAGACAGTATGAAGCTTGTGAATCTAGGTCCTGGCCTGGAACTCCATCACCACTGGAAAGGGACACTTGGGGTAGAAATCTGCTGGAGACGTATTTAATTTGGTTTCTATTGGTTGGGTGTTATTTTCAGTACCTTTCTGGAAAGGTTTTGAAGACATATATAAGGATAGGTTAAAAGTAGGAATTAAACATTGTTGGCAGGTAGATGATTGAAGAATAAAGGGTGGCAGGTTGGCAGATTGTAAAGGAGGTGCCTGTTGTATATAGACTTGTCATTGGCTCAGTTTTGTCTGTTTACTCTGACTTTTGTGCCCTGTCAACTTCAGTTTTTCTGTCTGTGAAATAGGCACACTAAAATTATATAGTTCACAAGAGTCTGGTTTTCAGAATTGGCTTAAGAAAAGATGAGAATACTCTGTGAGGCACCTAAAGGACTATTCAGTTGTTGTAAAAGTACTGTAGTTTTGCATTGTGGAAATTTGTCATTTGAGATTCTTAACACATATGGTTATATTGTAAATGATTTTAATGCGCATTTCTCACTGTATGAATTTTGCTAGTGACATTACTGTTTATTTTAGATGTATATTATGGTAATGATGAAGACAAAAAGCAAATCTGAGTGATTTTTAAAATTTTAGTTGTTAATTACTGTTTTAGTTAGGGTTGTTATTGCTGTGAACATGACCACTACAGCTCTTAAATAGGAAAACATTTAATTAGGGCTGGCTTACAGTTTAGAGGTTTAGTTCATTATCGTCATGTTGGGAAATGGTGGCATGCAGGCAGTCATGGTGCTGGAAAAGTAGCTGAGAGTTCTACATCTTGATCAGCAGGCATAAGACGTGAGCTGAGATACATTGTGACTTGAGCATGTATGAGACCTCAGAGCCTACCTCCACAGTGACACACTTCCCAAAAGGCCACACCTACTCCAACAAAGACACACCTTCTAATATTGCCACTCCCTATGAGCTTATAGGGGCAATTAATTCAACACTACCACAATTACTGTGTGTGTGTGTGCCATGGCACATGTATGGCGGTTAAACTACAACTTTGTGTATAGTAGGTTCTCCTCTTTTTACATGGGTTCCAGCTACCTGCTAAGCCATCTTGTGAACATTTTTTTTTTTGTTGAAGAATAAAATGGATCAATGGCAGCAGAGAAAATTTCAACAGAGCATTTGGTCAACAATCTGCTAATGAGTATACAGTGCAGTGGTGGTTCAATAAAGTTTGCAAAGGAATTGAGAGCCCTGAAGTTGAGGAGCAATGTGGCTGGCCATCAGAAGTTGACAATGATCTGTGGAAATCAATCATCAAAGGAGAAGTTGCCAGAAAACTCTATGGACCATTCATGATCACTTGACATTTGAAGCTAATTGGAAAGGCAGAAAAGCTTGGTAAATGGATTACTTATGAGCTGATTGAACATTTTTGAGAAAACTGTTTTGAATTAGTGTCTCTTATTCTTCACAACATTGACGAACCATTTCTTGATCAGATTGTGACATGTGACAGAAAAATGGATTAAATATGACAATTGCTGATGACCATCTTTGTGGTTGGACTAAGGAGAATCCAAAGTACACCCCAGAGCCAAACTTTCACATAAGAAGGTTGCAGTCATAGCTGGGTGGTCTGCTGCTAGTCTGAGCCACTACCAACTGAAATCTGGTTAAACCACTAGATCTGAGACGCATGCTCAGCATATCCATGACATGTGCACCAAAAGCTGCAGCACCCACAGCGGGCATTGGTCAGTGTTCAGAAAGGGCCCACTTCTCCAGGACAAACCAGGACTACATGCTGCACAATCGGTGCTTCAGTAGTTGAATTCATTGAGCTTTAGACTTGCCGTATCCATCATAGTCACCATGTTCACTTGACCTCTTTCCAACTGACTACCACTTTCTCAAGAACCTTTTTACAACACAAAAGTACTTCTGTAACCCACAGAATGTGGAAATTGCTTTCTAAGAATTTGTCTGATCCCAAAGCATGGGTCTAAAGAAGTAAATAAAGTTATTTCTCATTGGCAAAAATATGTATTGCTTTGTAATGCTTCATATTTTGATTAATGGAATTGTGCTTTAAGCCTAGGTATAATTATTTAAAATTCACAATTCAAACCTGCAACAACTTTTGCACCAATGGAATATCTGATTCATTGTTGAAGGAAGTGTTAGTTCCAAGAGGCCCAGGAATAAGCCTTCAGGGATGCTTAACAGAAGAAGGAACAGTTTGTAGGAAACAAATAACCTCAACATGAAGGCAGTGTGTACTAGTGACAGTCATGAAGCTTGATTCTAGAAGGCAGGAAAGATACAGAGAAGTAATTGAAAAGAACTTTACCAGTGAGGTATTTGAGGCTTATCTTTTTTTTTTTTTTTTTTCCGAGACAGGGTTTCTCTGTGTAGCTTTGGAACCTATCCTGGCACTCACTCTGGATACCAGGCTGGCCTCGAACTCACTGAGATCCGCCTGCCTCTGCCTCCCGAGTGCTGGAATTAAAGGCGTGCACCACCAACACCCGGCTATGCAAAGAGTTTTTTGAGGGTGCAAATAAAACGATATTTTAAGAAAGTGAACACTATTACCTAAAAGACCATTTGGTGTCTTGTTTTTCACAATGAGAGTCCCAGGCAGACACTGACATGTCTCCACCTATATTGGTGCACTGACAGAAGCAATGTCCTTGCTTCATGATCAATCTTTATATTTGCATACAGTTCTGGGGAAAGTTCAGAGTTCTACTGTATAGGAAAGGGGGCCAGTATCTTCCACCTGTCAGAGAAGACTTCTTTATTTTGTTTGGAAATTTCCTATGAAGCTCAGGATGGCCTTAAATTCTCAGTCTTCCTGTCTCAGCCTCCTGAATGCTGGGATTATAGAAATGTACAACTATGCCCTTCCTTATAAGGATGCCAATTATTTGGTTTAGAGTTAGATTTAGTGCCCACTCCAGATCTAGGGTGATTTCATCCAGATTCCTTTACTAAGGATTTATAAAGACCCTGTTTCTAATGAAGATTATATTCATAGACTCTGAGCTTTAGGAATTAGACCTGTCTTTTAAGGATATAGTTCTTTACAGTGTTACTGTGTGCATGCAACTCGGCCTCATTTAACTCTAAGTGATGAATGAAGGTCAATACTCCTGCCTCCTCCCAGATGGCCAGATTACAGGTATGTGCCACTATGCCTGGTGAGGTACTTTATTTTTAATGAATCAATTTGAAACTTTAGTTTTGGACTCTATCTGAAAATTCTTGAGTCTTGGCTACTGGGTTGTGGCCCAGATAAGGAAGTAAGAAAAGAGAGAAGTAGAAACAAAGATGTGAGTCATGGTAATTCCTGTGTGGTGCTTGGATAGATGAGGGCCGTGAAATGTACTGGAACTATAAGCTGAGTGTAAAAATTCAGACCAAAACTGAACAAAATTGACATTTCTTTTGGAATAACTCACTATGTTCATTTGGCTACCTGTTTTTGAAATCTCTGCCAATATTTTTGTCAAGTATGTAATTCAAGTTCCAAGTGAAATAATTTGTTTTAGTAAATGGCTTTAACAAGATTCTTTTAAGCTGAATTCACTTACTAACTCATTGTTTCCATGTATTTTATATCATATAAGATGACATTGTATATGTAGACAGAATGAATTAGTCTTTGTGCTTATGAGATAAAAAAAAAAAAAACTATGCAATAATTAGTTAGAATGTCGTTAGATATATTGTAGGATCAAAAATCATGACCTGAAGTGCTCTGAGTTCAGAAGGTCAGATCACTGTCATACATACACACAGTTATCTTTAGTTCTTTTGGTACAGGTGGTAGGATTGGAAACAACACTGAGCTATTGGCAGCTTGCGTGTGGTCATTTTCCCCACCCCATTTCTAGCTTCTTTGGATGTCTCTTGGCTTTTTACTGGCCACTGTTTAATGCCTTGAAGTGAGTACATTCATTTTATTTCAAGCCCTTGTAAATGCTGTTTCTTTGCCTACACTACCTTCTAGTCTTTTCTTCTGCTGGCTTACCCTTTAGATTTGAGGCACTCTTGGTTTTGAACATTTTAGCTTGTATGTCTTTTTTCAGGCACAACTTTGCTAACTCCTTAAGAAGAGTATCTTCCCCATTATATTAAGTCACATTGCATAGCTTAGTTTATAAGTAATTTGGGAAATAGAAAATGTGGCTGTTTTGTTACTGTGTCTAAGTGAGTCATTGCTGCTTAATAACTATGTATTGATTGAATGTATATAAGCATTATTTGTGCATCTTGTATCCTGTGTTTAATATATTTATTTTTTCATTTAAGTCAAATGTCGTTTTTTCTCCCTTTGAAGAATTTAGCCGAATTGGAAGCATTATGTACTCGTCTCTACGTAGGGACTGATCTCACAGAAAGAATAGAGGCTGAGAAAGCACTCTTGGAACTGATTGACAGCCCAGAATGTCTCAGCAAGTGTCAACTTTTATTAGAACAAGGAACAGTAAGTATGTAATGAGTGATTAACCATGAAAGGCCAGTGTTGATGGTAATAACAGTGGTTAGCACTGATACTCATAGCTTTTGCCACATCTTTTTATTGTAATTTCCTTTCAGAGGGGTTAAGCAGGAAAGAACTAGAAAGCCAGGGAAACAAACATAGGAATCAGCCATAAAGTAGAAATAGGAATGTGTTAAAATAGTTTCTTGGTTCTTCTTGGCCTGCTTCTATGTCACACTATATGTGTTTATTTTAGCAGTGCTGAGGAATGAACCAAGGCCTTTTACTTGCTAGGCAAGCTTTCTATTGGCAACTTACATCCCCAACCCTAACAAGTATATTTCAGAAATAACTTTAAAAAAATCCAAATGTTGTAGTTAGGTAGGTTATGTTAAACTCTAGAAAAATCAGAGTGCTCACTGCTTCTTCACTTCTTTATTCTAGACAGAGAGAGAGAGTCAGAGAGAGAGAGAGAGAGTGAGAGAGAGAGAGAGAGAGAGAGAGAGAGAGAGAGAGAGGAGATTGAGAGTGAACCCAAGCATGAAACATTACCAAGTGCTGTACTCTACTGCTTACTTGACCTATGTACATGAATTAAAGTAGTTCATTGTTTAGTTAGAGAGTCACAGATCTGTAAGAGGTATGAAATCATATGGAGAATATCACAGAGACTTATGTTTTACAGAAAAGGTAACAGACTTTCCATAAAAGGCCTTGTAGTAGTTTAGGCTTTGTGAGCCAAAATATTTTATGAGTATATCTATAATAATAAAGGAAAAAATAATCAAAGTTTTGTTGGTAAAATTCAAAATATAATCACTGAATATAGTTTTTTATGTATACAGGTTGGATGATAAAATATTGGGGATTGATTGGAGTTTAAAAGTTGGTGTTTCAAAAAAAAGTTGGTGTTTCCTGTTATTAGACTTGATTATAGATTTCATAGTTCCTATATTCATGCAGATTTATAATGAAATGATAACATTTTTTTTTTCTTTCATTAGACACGATCTTGCTATGTGAGAAACTTGGCTGACCTGGAACTCTCTGTGTAGAACAGGCCGGCCTTGAATTCACAGTGATTCACCTGTTTTTGCCCTTAAAGTGCTGGTATTAAAGGTGTACACTGTCATGATGGCTAAAATTTACACCTTTGAAAATATCTTCACTAACCTAGATGCTGCCAAACATTATTTCAGTGCTTTGGCGTCTGATCTGCATCATGCATGCTTTCACTTAGAGGGCATTTCTGTGCTTCTATTAAATCCTCTTGAGATTTGCCATTTTTCTTGTCATTGTGTTGCAAATTAATAATTTCCAATTAAAAATTTTGTAGAAGGTCCTCAGTTGCACAGCAAATATGGAAATTTTCATTATACTTGTCAGTATCAAAACATGCTACTGGGACTGTAGTTGGAGATTAGAATAAGTGTAAGAGTGGAGCTTTCACTACTTGTTTTAGCTTTTCTCAGTGTGGGAATGTGTGGAGTAGCCTGGAGTCCTTGTGACTCCCACAGTGTTAATTGTTGCCTGAGTTACTTGAGTGTCCCTCATCCTGCCATCCCCTGTACAAGTGTATACCCTTCATTTAGGCACTAGGTTAGACTCATTGAGAGAACAAGTTTGTTGTATAAACTAATTTCTAATGCCATTTAATAGTGAAAACTCTCAGACCTGAACTTAAGAAAAAAAAGAAAGAAAGAAATCTAATTTAACTCTGGCAGGCTATTAGTCTACTTTGTTGGGGGCAAGTCAGGGTATTCAGCGTCTTGATCTGGCAGAAATCTATACAGTGGGAGATGAGCTCACAAAAGTAAATGAGCACTCCTGATTCATTAAGTTAGAAGAGATTCAAATATTCACTCCAGAATAAATGCTAATATTAAAGTGAATGATACAGGCTTCAAAATAGTCATCATCATCATCATCATTATTATTATTTTCAAGCCTTGTGAAATTGACCAGCTAAGCCCCTCTCTGCTTCATACACAGTTGTCACAAGTGTGTGGTTTGTATTTAATTAATGCTTCCTCAGTTCTTTTGAAAATATCTGGCCTATAGTTCCACAGATTCTTCATAAAAGGTAGCAGTTCTTTAATTGCTTCCCATTCTTCCTTGACTTCTAGAATAAGTAGATGGCAAATGTCAGTAGCATTAATGACATGAACAAATTATTAAGTACCCCCAACCCATTCACTTAAAGCTAATGATAAACTTTGCAGTTTGCTTGCCTTGTCTTTAAGTTGACTTCTCATGTTGCTTTAGCGTCCTCATCTGAGCATTTTTTCTCATGGAAAGGCTAGGGAAGTTTATTTTCTCTAAACATAACTTCAGCTGCTGCAGTAAAATAATGGTGATTAACTCATCATTACTAAATAGCTTCCTTTACTTGAATTAAATAATGAACCATTTGTAAACTTTTTGTTTTTGGAGACAGGGTTTCACTATGTATCCCTGGCTGTCCTGGTACTCACTCTGTAGGCCAGGCTAGCCTCAAACTCACAGAGGTCCACCTACCTCTGCTTCCTGAGGGCTGGGATTAAAGGTGTACACCCCACTGCCTGGCTGCCACTTGTAAACTTAATTTTGGTTTGTAGCCTCATTTTTTACTCCCCCCCCTTTTTTTTAAAGAAACTGCTACTCTGACATAGTCTGTTTTAAATTTCAGAAAGACTACTGACTTTAAGTTGGAAATATTGTTATGAGTGTTTAGTTTGAAATTGTTGGCATATATTCTTTTAGGACATGGTAACTGTAGCATCATTGGAAAAAGCTCACTGACCTGCCACTAATTTAACACTATCCCTTAAGAGTTAAACATTTAAAGGCTACTTTTTTTCTTCTTTGACATGGTAGATATACATTGATATAGTGAAAGGTATGTCTCATGTTGGCTCAGTTCCTGAGACACTCTGAAGACTAGAGTTGTATCACTGAAATTTGTGGCACATGTGCAGCGGCCAGATCTGAGCATACATGGGGTCAGTTTTAGCTGCTAACACCTGCTATTACAGGTGTGGCTCCAGGTGTGTTTGGTGTATAATAGCACAGAGTGTGCAAAAGTGCTAGGCCATGTTAAGAGTGTTTATTTGAACTTGTTCAGATGTTTATTTCTCCCATTTACTTGATGCTGTTGAGATGGTTTTGTACACATCTTCAGCTAATGATATTTATGAGAGATTGTGTGCACTCATGGGTCTACACAGTGTATTTCAAGTACATGTATTTTATTTATAAATATGCTACTTTGGAGAACTCAAAAATGACTGTTTCTGCTTAAAAAAATTTCTTATTTTGACCATTTTATTTTTGTGATGATAATAAAAATTACTGTTCTTTACAGACATCCTATGCTCAGCTCCTTGCAGCAACATGTCTTTCAAAACTTGTTACCCGAATCAGTCCTTTACCTATAGAACAGAGGATAGATATCAGTAAGTGATTCATTAATTTTTTTTTGACAAATTATATCTTAAAAATGAAAATTTCCTTTTAAATTTGCTAAGCTTTTATTAGGCTTGTGATTTAGTTTTATTATTTTAAGATGGGTAGTTAAGTCTTATTCATATAGTGATGATCATGGGATAGATAAGGCAATATATAATTATAAAATTTGTTAATTTAATAATTATATTTTGTTTATGTGGTATTTGTTAAGATTTTCACCATTATACTTTATCCTCCAAATAAGTTAATGAATTATCCGTATTTTACAAATGAGTAAACTGGATATGATGGGTTCTGACTGCCTCAGGATCACATAACCAGAAAATAGAGTTTTCATTCAAATCCCCTAAATCTGCATAGAGTCCATGCTCTTCATTGCTAGGCAACTGAATACCCAGAAAGAAACCAGCTCTACAATATTGCTCAGGTAGTTACAACAGAATCAGTTTGGATATGTTTAAAACCAACAGCTGATTCCTACCTATAGTAAGAAAAACATTGATACTGTAGAATAGCTATTTATATGTTTTGGGAGTAATACACTTCACATTTTTATATATGTGTGAACTTGCATTTCATATGGACAAACTTAATAATTGGGTTATGAGATTACTCTTTCATTGTAATAGAAATAGATTAATGTCTCATTTCTGTTCTTCAGACTCAAAGTTAATATTGTTTATATTTCTATATTAGAAAATGAAGATATCTGATGTATTACGAATCTTTAAGATCAAAATTCACTGGTCAGAACCACACAGTGATATAGTTTGCCTCATTTCTTCAGTATGCAGAAGTTCTACACTTGAGAGCAAAAGAGATGCATTTGCATCTTTAAAAACAGTGGTTCAAACAATGTAAGCCTTAGTCATGAAACTTAGGATATATTTTAAATAGACTTAATTGTTTTTGAGCACTTCTGGGTTCTTAGCAAAACTGAACAGAAACTGTAGATAGAGTGCCCTTTTACTCCCTGTTTCCACTCATGGATAGCCTCCCCTATTATCAACATGGGGATAGTGTATCCTAGAGTTGGGCAATGTACAATGGCATGTGTCTGCTATTATAATAGTGTATGAAGTAGCCACACTACACAAAAAATCCTGTGCTCTGCTGGTTCTTCCCTCCTTACCTCAACCCCCAGTCTTTGAATAGCCTCCACTGCTTGCCTTTTCCAGGCTCGCACATTGTGAGAATCATACAGTATGTAGCTTTCTCAGATTTCCTCTTTCATTTATAATAACAATGTGTGCCTATGGTTCTTCTATATCTTCTCATGATGACTCAATAATCTTGTTTCTCTTTAGTTATGAATAATAATTCTTCATAGTCTGAATGTACCTAAGTGATGGTTGTTTCTAAGTGAGTAAAGTTGCTCTAGACAACCATAAGAAGGTGTACATGGTGGCTTATAATTCTAACACATGGGAGACTGAGGTAGGAGATTCCCACATTTGAGGCCAGCCTTGGCTAAATTGTGAGTTTAAGGGTATCCTGTGCTACACAGCAGGGCCTTTTTTGGGGAGTGGGATGGAAGAGGAGCACACAGAATAAATGAGACCTGAAGTAATTGAGAGAAGACCTTGCTTTGTTCCTGATCCTGATCTTGGTGGAAAGCTTTTTTAAATTTTTCATTAAACATGATGTCATTGTAGTTTTTATTTTCCAGGAGTGTTCTAAATCAACTTGAGAAAGTTTTTCTTTATTCTTAGTTGAGGTTTTTGTTTCTTTTTAGACAGGGTTTCTCTGTGTAGCATGGCCATCCTTGAACTTGCTCTGTAGACCAGGCTGGCCTCGAACTCAGAGATCTGCCTGCTCTGCCTCACGAGTGCCGGGATTAAAGGCGTGCTCCTCCACTGCCTGGCTCTTGGTTGAGGGTTTTTTTTTTTTAATTATAAATGGATATTGCATTTGTTAAATGCTTTTCTTGTATCTGTTGATTTTTATTCTGTAGACTGTTGATTTTATATGTTGAGCCAGACTTGCATACCTAAGATAAATCCTGCTTTGTCCTGCTTCTTTAATTCTTTATACATTTCTGGTTTCTACTTGCTGAAATGTTGAGAATTTTTATAACTCTGTTCAGGAGAGATACTTGGCTTCTAGTTTTGTGTTCTTTCAATGTTTTCAGTTTGTACATTAAGATCATTTGGGGGGCAGGGAATGTAGTCAGAGTTGGAATGCTTGCCTTGCATGAGTGAGGGCCTAGGATTCATTCCTAGATATGCAATAAAACAAAAGAAATAAAAGAAACTAATTTTGAACTAAAATAAGTTTGGTAGGTTTTTCTCTCTTCCTTTTTTTTTTTTTTTTTTTTTTTTTTTTTTTTTTTTTTTTTTTTTTTTTTTTTTTTTTAAGACAGGGAGCCTGTCCTGGAACTTACTCTGTAAACCAAGCTGGCCTCCAACTCACAGATCTGCCTTGCTTGCCTCTGCCTCCTGAGTGCTGGGATTAAAAACATGCACCATCACCACCTGGCTGTTTGCTGTGCTCTCTTCATTTTCTATTGGCAGGTATTGCCTAAATTTTGGTAGTATTCACTAGTAGATTCTTCTGGGTCTGGTGTTTTGGCTTTGGAAGATTATTGTATTTTGCTGTTGTGTTTCTATAACCAGAAACATGAGAGGATGACTTAAAGGAGGGTGGCTTAATTTGGCTCATGGTTCCAGAGTCTTCATTTCATGGTTGTTTGGCCCCATGTGCTTCAGCATAGTTGGCAGTGGGGGCTGTGACAAAGGCTGGTGGTCTTTATTTCCTTGTGGTTGAGGAGGGAGGGGGAGAAGAATAATGCCAGCACTCACCTGGCTTTCTCCTCTTACCCTTTTTGTTCTGTTAAGGTCTCAAGTACATAGAATGATGGTGCTGCCCATATCCATGGTAGTTCTTCCTCCCTTGGTTAATCCTCTCTGGAAACCCTGTTACAAACACACCCAGAGGTGTGTTTCACCAGTCTGAGCTGATTCCAAATCAGTCAAGTTGACAATGAAAATTTTCAGTTTGTACTTAGTAATTACTGAATACATTTCTTTATTAGTTACAAACATTCAGATTATCTATTTAACTTGTATTTTAAAAATAGAAACCTTTTTAGAGTAAGGGATGCAGATATTAACTTACAGTGATTTAACTACTGATTTTTTTTTTTTTTCCCACCAGGGTTTCCCTGTCAGAGACAGGGTTTCTCTGTATTGCTTTGGAGCCTATCCTGGCACTTGCTCTGGAGACTAGGCTGGCCTCGAACTCACATTGATCAGCCTGCCTCTGCCTCTTGAGTGCTGGGATTAAAGGCGAGCCACCATCGCCCGGTGACTACTGATTTTTTAAATAATACTTTGATTCTATGTAAACGATACTTCAGAATGTTAATTTTGATTTTTCTTGTGTTGGTGATTTGAGGTACCACACTCTTGTGATGTTAGACAGTGGCAGTAAGCTGTAGCTTTTTGTTATCTACAAGGGTAAACAACTGATAGTCTATACTGTGTTGCTACACTATACTTGTAGTTAGATGTAGTAAGTGCATTTTCAATTTACAGTTTATTGGGATTTTACTTTATTAACAGTTGAGCAAGGTTGGGATATAGTTCAGTTAGTAGAGTTCCTGCATAATATACATAGGCCCTATGTTCAGTCATCATCACTACACAAACTGGGCGAGGTGGTGCAAGGCTGTAATCCCAGGACTTGGAAGGTAGAGAGGCAGGAGAATCAGAAATGGAGGGTCATCCTTGACAGCATAGCAAATTCAAAGCCAGCCTGGAACACTTGAGACTCTGTTTCTCTCATACACATACAAAAAGTCTTACACACATACAAAAAGTTGAGCAGCATTTGTACTCTTAAATAAAAATGATGAATGAAATTTGGGGAGAAAAGAAAATTTCACATAAGAAATGATGAATTTTCTTTTAGTTTCTTTAGTTTCTGTCAGTTGATTAGAATTTTTGTCATGATGTGATATATATAATTACAGACATGTGAGTTAAAATAAAAAAAATGTAGAATGGACAAGCATTGCTTTTTCAGATCAGTGTAATCCTCAGTCTTGGACAATCCACTTCTGTAACTTCATTATTTCTTCATAGATGCTGTTGCTGGTTTCTGTGCTCACCACACTTGTTTCTGCCACCACTTGTGTAATTAGCAATGGCTTTTTATTGATTTTCAGTCAGATGCCATTTGCCTAGCTTAGTACTGAAGTACCTTCATGAGCTTGTCACTGAGGAGTCATCCTTGTTTAGGTGGCTTTATATCTCCATCAATACCATCCAGTTTCTTGTGTCAGAAGGTCTTCCTCTCATACCAACTTCTACCTCAGTGCCTGTTCCTATGTGGTTTCCCTGGACTGGAATGCTATCCTTTTCATCTTCAGACAAATATGTAGTTTAGGTTTGCTTCCTTTTATAAGTTAGTCCTCTTTTCTTCCTTCCGTTCTTTCTTTTTTTCAGCTTACCGAAGCAAATACGTACTACATCATAAAACACAGTTCAGTTGATTCTGCTATGCTGTGTTTTCAGCATAGCAGAATCACTCAGTTACAACCCTTTAGTAAAGAGCTTAATTTTAGTATATTTATGGTTGTATGAACAGTCTCTAACATTTGGTGTAAGAACATTTTCATTATCCTAGAAAAATCATTTGGAGGCTGTCTGCCCCACCCCAATATGCTTTCTGCTGCCCATAGACTGACATTTTTGTAGCTGTTACATTGAAATTGGATCATAGTGTTTGTAGTTCTTTTGCACATACATGGTACCTTTCACTAAGCAAATTAGTGAGTTTCATCATGTGTGTCACATTACTATGTCATTCCTCTTTATTTAGTTTCCTTGTGTATATGTGGCTTTTAAAACATGTTTACTACTAGTTGATGAGCTTGTTGGCCACTTGAGTTTCACAACTTTTTGGTCACTGAAAGGATTCAGGCATTATGCTGGCCTGTCCCTGTTACCTGGCAGAATGCACTCAGGCAGTACTCTGATCAACCCAGGGTTCCATGAGTACTAAGTCTGCACGCAGGTATAAAGGACCCCTTTAAAAGACAGACCCCTGCCCACTACTTTCTCTCTTACCCTCTATGCTGGCCTGTCCCTGTTACCTGGCAGAATGCACTCAGGCAGTACTCTGATCAACCCAGGGTTCCATGAGTACTAAGTCTGCACGCAGGTATAAAGGACCCCTTTAAAAGACAGACCCCTGCCCACTACTTTCTCTCTTACCCTCTTCCTTTCTCTCTCTCTCTTCTCTCTCTCTCTCTCTCTCTCTCTCTCTCTCTCTTTCTCCCCTCTCTTTCTTTCTCTCTCCTCTCCCCCTCTTGTTCTTTCCTCCTTCTTAATAAGCTCCGTGGTTAATATTTGTGTTCCATCGTGCCTTTAACTTAAACAAAAGAACAACAGTCACCATAAGCAGTTATACTTGGAACATTCACTTATGAGCATTTTCATGGTTCAGTTTTTCCCATTTTTTCTATGTAGTCCCTAGGAATGAAGTTACTGAGTTATAAGGTAAGTTTGTGCAAATTTCTAAGACATTCCCCAACTGTTTTCCTAAGTGCCTGCAGTCTTAACAGCATATAAAGGTTCTGGTTGTCCCCACCTCCACCTTTTAATTCTTTTTTTTCCGTTTATGTGTGCAAGTGATTTGCTCCAGAGCCTCCATAATTCCTAATACTTACTTATTCATAATTTTCAGTCTTTTGTTCTTGAATTTTCATGAACAGTAGATCCTAAGTTCCTCCAGGCAGAGATGATCACTCATTTCTTAAGGTGTTGTGTTTGGAGTGTTTCCAATGAAGCATTTTAGTTGGGTAGCTTGTGGTTGACTTTGTTGTGTTAACTCTTTTTTGAGCATTACTTTCATGTTTAAAAAAAAATACTGACTGTCACTATCGTAAGCTACTTTATTTTTATGTCCCTTAACCAAGATCAAATTTTCAAAAAATGATTATAGACTTTATCCTCACAATAAACATTTGTTGATTTATTTAATTGTTTCAAGCTGTTGAGGACTAAGCACCCTGCCTCCTGCATGTGAGGCAAGCACTCTACCACTGAACCGTGTCCCCATCCTGGCCTACTCAGTTCCTCTGGAACATGGTGTATGAATTTCTAAAAGTGACTTGCTACACAATGCCACATGGGGCTTATGAGACAAGGGAGGTTATGGGATCAATTTTGTCAGATAGGTTGTTTTGTTTTGTTTTGGTTTTGGATAGAATTCTCATAAATGTTTGATAGAGTTGTGCAGATCAGGTGATTTAGAAACACCTTCAAGGTACAGCAAATGTGCACTTTTGTCTTGAAAAGATGTGAAGTTTGTAGGACTCAGTACAGTTGCAGTTTGTGAGGTCCTGTAAAGTGATGATAGTATAGAAAATGACAGTGCCAGATAAGGATGGGTATAGTGGATAACAGGGATAATGAAATCCAGTGGTTAGTAGACATCTGACACATATACATTCTTGTATTTTATTATATTGAACTACCTATGTATTTTTGTGCCCCTTAAACAGCTTGGTTCATTTGCCTTGCAGTTTTCTGCATTTACCTATCAGGTTTTTTTGCATGTGGCATCTACAAATAGAAAAATGACAATCATATCCTACTAAAATTACCCCAAGATTTATCAGAATGTAGAGGAATAAGTTCATGTATTTCAAAGAAGTTTTATAGCGTCTACTGTATAATAAGTACACATTTTGAAGATAGGGATCAGCTCGTTTATCAAAGAGCATGCCATTGCCTCCCTTTTCTTTTCTTCACAAGATTCACATTATATGTCTCAGAAGTCCAAGTGGTCACTGATACTGTCTTTTATAGGAAACTACATTCAGAATTATGTGGCATCACAACCTAAGCTGGCTCCCTTTGTCATTCAAGCTCTTATTCAAGTCATTGCTAAACTCACTAAGTTGGGGTGGTTTGAAGTTCAGAAAGACGAGTTTGTTTTCCGAGACATTATTGCCGATGTAAAGAGATTCCTTCAGGTAAGGCACTGGCTGTCAACCATTACAGTGTTACTACTTGCTTTGGTTGTTTAAAATACTGATTAGAGCTACTGGGTTCTCTTTGTAGTACCAAAGTACTACAAAGTACTTTGTAGTCATTTATTATTTGTGATTTGGAACCTTCATTATTTATTGTCAGTTAAAAATCATGCTATACTTGAAGAATGAAAATAATCATTGTTTCTAAATTTAAAATGTACTATTTATAACATGTTTGTGTATCATATACAAACAACTATATATGCATAATGCTTTTTTGGGTTTTTCATGACAGGGTTCCTCTGTGTAGCCCTGGCTGTCCTGGAACTCACTATGTAGAACAGACTGGCCCCAAACTCAGAGATCCACCTGCCTCTGCCTTTTGAGTACTGGTGTAAAGGAGGCATATGTTACCACCACCTGGCTTATAATGATAATCACTTAGTTCTCATAAGAGTCCTAGGAAGTGGGTTTCATTGTACAAATGAAAAAAACTTCGATTTAGTAAAGCATAACTAGTTCTCTGACACGTCTTTTGACAGCTTGTTTTTTTATCCCACACTACATCAACTATAATATTTTTCTGAGGAATGTTTTCAAGTGAATCACTGAATCATAGCACATGATGTAAATATAAGTAATAGGTAAATCATATATTTCATCCCTGATTTATACCAGTTCAGATATTTAGAGTATAAGAAAGAACAGGAACTTCTAAGAGATTGTTCACTTACTATTCACATGGTAGTTACAGGTTTTGAGATAATAAACTAATCAGGAATCTGTCCTTGGTTCCTATTTGCCTCATTCTTAAAATAATTAGATATTTAGTGATACATGTTTTTTTTAATTCTTTTTTTGCTACTCATATTTACATATCCATCCCCCATATTCCTTCGCCCTCCCATCCTCCCATGTTCCCCACCATCACCACCCCCAACTCCTCCCCAGCGATAGTGAGGCCCTCCATCAGGGACCTTAAAAATCTGTCATATCATTTGGGGGAGGGCCTAGGCCCTCCTTACTGTATCTGGGCTGCAGTAGTATCCCTCCCTAGGGAATGGACTCCCAAAGTCCATTTGTGCTCTAGTGTTAAAGACTGGCTCCACTGTTAGAGGTCCCTTAGACTGTCTTGGCCTCCTAGCTGGCACCCACATTCAGAGGGCTTGGTTCGGTCCAGTGATACATGTTTTTTATACTTGTGCTATTTTTAATTTAACAGCAGTTAACTTTAGTTGGTGTTAAGTTTAAGAGTTCTTGGGCTGGAAAGATGGTTCAGTGGTAAAAGTGCTTGCTGTGCCAAGTCTGATGATCAGGGTTTGAATCCCTGGAACCCATGTAAAAGCTGGAGCTCAAGCCCCTATGATTCCAGGTGTTTAAAATGAAAAAAGGAAAGAAAAGTTTTCAGACTGTCAGTTGATTAGAGAGCCACACTATGCAACTTTGTTGAGCTAATATACACAGAGCAGCCATGACTCAGTGAATAGGAGATTAGGAGGTTCACAAAGAATTAAAATGCATGGTTTGATGCTCCCAGAGTTGATCTTTGGTGGTTCTGAGATAATAAGAACTTAATTATACCTTGAATTCTGTGTTGCTGAGTTTCTTTGCAAGTTAGAGGGATGACCAACTGTGAAATGAAGCTGTAGAAAGCACATCTGTGCATATTTTTGTATTACTGCACTGTAATTTGATGCTACATTATTTCCATGCTTTCCAATATGATTTTGTAATAGGGTAATTTGTTAGTAATATGCACATGAAATCTGAATTGAAGGAAGTTTTGCAATTAAATTGGAAGCTAATTAGAAACATCATGGAAACTATACTACATTGATAGTCATATATTTACTTTGCTACATTGGATACCCTAGATGTCTTCATTAAGGCACCTAACGACTACATACACGTGCACTGTTTAGTAATATTAAAAGAGCCTAAGTGATCTTTTCTGATATTAGATCAAGAGATTTAAATTAGTTTCTAAGCTACTTATTAATTATTGAGTACAGCTATCACAGTAGGCTTCAAGCAAATTTCTAGAACAAAAACCATTTTCCCCCATTCTTAAGATTGTAGGAAAAGTACTAAATTAAATGTTATTTGAAGCTTAGTTTGTTATGAGTTGTAAATGTTGGGAAACATTGTATAGAGTAGTATACATTTCTAAGGTAGGTATTCATTTTCTCCTTAACTCTATGTACTGAAATTTGTCCTTCAAAAGTGAGTTCAATTTTTTTTAAACATACTTTTAAGGACTGTTACTAGGCAAATGTGATACTTTGGCATTTAATTTTTGGAAGTCAAGAACTAATCATTTCTCCTCTTGGTTGTTTTTTCCAAAGGGTACTGTGGGACACTGCATAATAGGAGTGATTATCCTTTCTGAGTTGACTCAGGAGATGAACCTGGTAAGCTTTTCCATGCAATAGAACATGGAGATGGCTTGGGTAATATTGTTTCTTTGGTTATTTTTATTTGTAACAAAATGTATAGTTGTTTTGTGACATGAAACTCTTAACTAATCATCTTTTTGAATATTTGTTTTAATAGTTGAAAAGTTAAATTAGAATACTTTCACTGAAAATCACAACCATAGTAAAATACACAGAATAAAAATAGTGGGAAATAGGGCATAATACTTGCTTCGTGGGTACTTGGAAAGTTGTCATTTTATTCTTGTAGATACATTAACCATAAAGCATGAATTGTATGGAAAAAACGTTTATGCATTTAGAAATAAAGGGCAAATGGCTTAGAAGATTGATTTTTAACCATAGGTAAGTGCCAGGACTCATCCAGGGACAGACCTTGGCAGTTAAGTCACTTTCTGACTTGAAGTTTCACCCCAGAATAAGGAGCATTTTCAGAAGCTACACTTCCCCCAACAGGGCTTTTTAAGCCCAGCAACTCAGGCTATATCAACTGTTCCTGTTCCCCTTTACTGTCAGCAAGGTTTTCAACAGGATGAAAACAGAAGTTGTGTTGTACATGGAATAATTTTATAAAGGGGATTGTAGGGCTTGAATTGAGAAACTGGCCTCTTCCTGAGGGGTGATTGTATGTATGGAAAGTGAATGTGTACATAAGAGCTGGCATCTGTCCATTAGCCAACTCCCTTTGTAGTCACAGTATAGTAACAGTATTTTAGAATTGAAATAACCAATTTGATTGCTATTCAGTGATAAATTAAAACAAATTTTGTAGAATTTCCACATTTTAAAATAACCTTAGTTTCCATGTCCATCCATTTTTGCTTCACTCAAAGAGTATGTGAAGATTGTCAGCTACGACAGTGTTTCTCTCCATGTTAGGAGTAGCTGTTTTGTTGGCAGGTGTATGATGACAGGGACTAATCATAATTGGAATGACTTTAAAGAACTGAAGCTCTCTATTAAAAGTTAAAAATATTTTTATATGTTTTTGTAAGTTTACTTAATAAAAGTGAAAGACTAGCCGGGCGGTGGTGGCACATGCCTTTAATCCCAGCACTCGGGAGGCAGAGGCAGGTGGATCTCTGTGAGTTCAAGACCAGCCTGGTCTACAAGAGCTAGTTCCAGGACAGCCTCCAAAGCTACAGAGAAACCCTGTCTCGAAAAACCAAAAAAAAAAAAAAAAAAAAAAAAAAAAAAAAAAGTGAAAGACTAGTATGGTAACCACAGGCGCCCAGCTTTCATAGTTGCTAACCCTAAAACTGATTGATTCATTTCCCACTTTACAACAAGTAGCAAGATAGGCTACCCTGAAAGAGAGGGTTCTGAGGTTTTTTTAGTTCCTAATTTCTTAGTTTCTCAATAACTGATAATGTGGGGTTGTTTTGTTTGTTTGTTTTTGGTGGATTTTCGAGGCAGGGTTACTCTGTGTAACAGCCCTCACTGTCGTAGAACTCACTCTGTAGACCAGGCTGGCCTCGAACTCAAAGATTCATCTGCCAGCCTCTGTGTCCTGAGTGCTGTGATTGAAGTCTTGTACCATGCCCTACTGGTAATGTGGATTTTAATGAAAGTGTATCTTGGAGAGCAACTAAGTATCCTTTAAAATATACAAACAAACTTCCAGTAATGTTTGGAGAGCCCGACAAAGTTTTTCTTGACCAATTGATGGTAAATTGACAACATGGTGCTCCCACACACACATTCCCACAGCCCCAGGGAATACTTTACATTTCCTTCTACAAAGACATTCTTCTACATGATCATGATACATGATACCCCCATTGAATTTTTAAAAAGTGATACGAAGCTATTCAGTTCTGTTTCTTTATTCAGCCCCAGCATGTCCCTAGAGCAGATGCCTGTTTAGAATCATGTCTCATGTTTGCTTCTCATGTTGTATTAGGATTCTTCAGTCTGGGAGAGTTAGTTACTCTTCTCTCCACTTTACAGCCTGTCTTAGGTTATGGTTGCTGTGATGAAATACCATGACCAAAAGCAACATTTTCATATCACAGTTTATCATCAATTGTAGTGGAGGCAGGAGCTGATACAGGGTCCCTGGAGGGGTGCTGCTTTCTGGCTTATCCTCATGCTTGCTCAGCCTGCTTTCTTATAGAACCCAGGACCACCAGCCCAGAGATAGTACCTCTCACAATGGGTTGGGCTGTCCCTCATTACCCACTAATTAGAAAATGCCTTATGGCATTTCATCAATTAAGATTCCCTCATTTCAGATAACTCTAGTTTGTGTCCAATTGACATGAAACTATTCAGCACACAACCTGAGACATGAAGATTACAAGCTAGTTGTTTTGTAAAACATCTTTTATTTTTAAGGTTGCCCAGTGTTTCCTCACTATTAAATCCAGTTTGCATTTATTTATCAGGAATATCACCAATGATGCTGTGGCCTTACTGTGTCTTGCCAGGAAGCATATGGTTTGAGTTGTCTAATAAAGGATGATGCTCATTTTGTTTTCTTAATTAAACATGTTCAGTATCCAGCTTCCTTATACTTTTTCTCTTTGTAATTAATACATATTTTGTGGAGAGGTTCTTTACACCTCTGAAAATGCTGTATCTTTCATCAAGCTTAAATCCTTAATATAGATTTCTAATTGTATTTAATAGATTCACCAGTAAGAAATTCTCAAGTTGGCTTTTGTATGCATTTAACATCCCTCCATTCTTTGATTTCTTTCTTTTTTTTTTGGTTGTTGTGGGTTTTTTTTTTTTTTTTTTTTTTTTTTTTGGTTGTTGTTTTGTTTTTTTCTTGAGACAGGATTTCTCTGTGTAGCCCTGGCTGTCCTGGAACTTCCTTTGTAGACCAGGATGGCTTCAAACTCTCAAACTCAGGAGATCCACCTACCTCTGAGTGCTGGAATTACAGTTGTTCACTCAGCATTTCCCCCCCTTTCCCCCCCTCCCACCAATCGGTTTCATGTAGCTCAGGCTGACCTCACATTTGCTTTGTAGTAGGGAGTGACCTTGAACTCTTGATCCTTCTGCCTCCCCTCCCAAACCCTGGGATTACAGGCATATTCCACTTATGCCTGTCCTCTTTTGTCCCTCTGGTACAAGATATTCCAGGTTATCCTACAATAAAGGCAAGCTCCTTTTTAGCAGAGTGCCTTTACAGACACCATAGCACAAGCTGCCATCCTAGCTACAGCTGGGAGGCAGAAGCAGGAGGATCTCTTGTATCCCCAGAACAATGCTACCTCCCTCCAAGCTTTAAAATGTGGTTTTTTGTTTTTTTGTTTTTTGTTATTTTGGGGTTTTTTTGCTTTATAAGTTGGAAAAATATATTTCCTATGGAGAAAGATTTTACCGAGCTTAATTTGGGGGTCGGGGAGTCATTTTCTATTTCAACTAGCATTTCTGGAGGTGATCAGATTCACATGAGGAAAGTCCAGTGTTATAAGATGCTCAGAAATGTTCTGAGTAAATCAGTGTGGTTGGTGAATCTGGGGTTTTTTGTTTTTGTTTTTTTTGGTGTTGTTGTTGTTGTTTTTGTTTTTTTGTTTAGACAGGTTTCACAATGTAGTAGCCCTGGCTGGCCTGGAACTCCCTGTATAGGTACACCAGACTGCCCTTGAACTCAGAAAACTCTCTGCCTGCCTGTGCCTCCTGAGTACTGGATTTAAAGGTATTCACCATCACATCCTGTCTAAGTATGAATGTATTTTTTAAGAAAAAGATCTAAACTTGATTTTCCTTAAAGTTAAAAAAGGATTGTAAGCATTATCCCACAGTTTTATAAGCCAGTTCTGCTGTTCCTTGACTATATTTGTTATATAGTCATCAGAGTGAAATACATATGCCCGTACAATAGGGGCATACATGTACAGTATGCAGTACATAGGCCTATATAGTAAAGGCATACATGTGCAGTATCAGATACATATGCCCATACAGTAGGGGCATACATGTACAATATGAAATGGTTGTACAGTCTCTCTCAAAACACAGTATCTACATGAGCACCTTGATTGGAGTAAGCATGCAGGCTTTGAGGAATCACAGGTGAAGGCAGATTTGTCTTCAGATCTATGGCAATTGCTTTGTACAACTTTCTCTCTTTCTCAGAGTTCAGAGTTTTTTACAGTGTGTTTTGATCATGTTCATTCTTATTCCCCCAACTCTTACCAGATCCACTGCTCTTTTCTGCTTACCCACAAATTTCTTAATTTTTTTTTTAATCCTGTATGTTTTTCTTTGAAGAGAGATAATGACACCTAGTACATAGATCTTACTAAGAACTGGTAAACTAGCTGGGAGGTGATTGCTGCACACCTTTAATCCCAGTCCTTGAGAGGCAAAGGCAGGCGGATCTCTTGAGTTTGAGGCCAGCCTTGTCTATAGAGCATGTTCTGTGGCTACACAGAAAAACCCTGTCTCAAAAAACCAAAAAACCCCACTAAAACAAACAATAATCAGATAAACTATCGTCATAGTACTTAGTATATAGAAGCTGCTCCATAAAGTTAACTTTCTTCTCTTCATGTTATGGATGTGATAAAGGACAGTATGCATTTTAAAGATTGGTTCCAGGAATAGGTTAATCCTTTTTAAACAGGGCTTGTGATGCTGTCTGCTCTTACTGATTTCTATGAAAAAGAAAGGTTTTGATGTTGTTTTTAGCATGAGAAGAACTTTAAAGTCTGATTTAGTAAAGGAGGGTTGGGGAGATGACTCAGCAGGTAAAGCACTTGGCAAGCAAACATGAAAACAGTTTGCATCCCCAGAACTCACGTCAGAGCTTCCTGGGTATGGCAGGCTGCTTGTAATTCCAGTGCACGGGATTCAGAAACAAGAACTCCCCTGAGCTAACTGGCTGGCTAGGTGAGCTAAAGTGGTGTACTCCAGATTCATTATACACACAAAGAGTTTGATTTAGAGCAGAATGCTACAAATGATAATTAATTCCAATCATATATTGGCTGCAGCTTTCCCTAACTACTTTCTGTAGTACCTTGGACATTTATGTTTACTATTTTTGTAAGTAAATGTAGTATTTAGGGGTAGTCTGAATTGTACCCTGGAGTTTAAGAAGTATCAGATAATAAGTTCTTAGCTCACTTTAAAAAAAAAAATCTTTAAACAGTAGAGGACAAATGGTTTCCTTCTGCCTTCCAATAGCAAAAGAGATAAATAGTAAATCTACAGTAACTTTAGGCTACAAGTGTTAATGATCGTTTATTTTCTGTTGATAAATGGAAATACATAGCATATATGAAATATTATATAATTATAATATCTATAATATATTTATATATTTTTGGGGGGGCGGGGGGGGGGAGGGAAAGGAGCCAGTGCTAAGCAAGTGTTCCCAGCCCCAGTATCACTGTTTAAACCATTTTTACATTTTAAGTTATGGGCTCAAGAACTAGTCTTAGTAATTTGTTCTTCAAAAAGTATTTTCTATTAGCTAGTAAAATATTCAGAGATGCCACATTGTGTACATAATCAAATTCTTGAGTATCATTTCTACTTTTGTTTTCAGAATTTTAGTGACATAAATCAAGGACATATAAAAATACCTTCAAACAAAATGTTTCTGTAACTGATTCATTTAGCTGGTTTACATTATTAGAATTTGAAGAGTGTTTTAGAGGTGTTTCCTT